AAAAAAATCAGCAGCACAAAGCCTGCTTGACTCTCATGAGTCAATGGACGACTGCATCCACACAAACACCTTCCACACCAGCCTCACCATCTCTGCTTGAGATTCTACATCATGTCAGTGCCCTGTTAGTGCCCTGTTGGCACACGTGTGTGGGACAGTGTAGTTACTGGGCCAGTAGCACTGAGCACTGTCACGGCAGCGCTAGCTGTGGGTGGCCCGAGGCCAAGGCCAAACAGTTTCATATAGTTGTGAATGTTTTCTGATGATTAAATGATAAAAGAAGAAAAGACAGCGTTTGAGATTGTTGAGTGAAAGTGAACGTGTTGATCTTTTAAATGTGATCTAAATGTCGGCGGTTTAATGCTGGTTTCAGTAAAACCACCTGAGAGAAAATCGTCCCTTTATCTCAAACACACTCATCTCCTCATGAGACCAGAGAGAAGATATCCTCGGTGATAAACCTGAGAGCATTCCGTGTGCAGTCACGTTCAGCAGTTTGTTAGCAGCTCCTCAAGGATCTCTTAAGTAACTCTGTGGTGCATCAGGTTACATCTGAGGAGCCTGGAGGGAGAGCTGAGGGCTTGTGCTCTTTTATTTTCATATTCATTTAAAAGTTTGAGAAGAAGGGAATAAAAATGCTTGAGGGCTCATGTGGCACTAAGACACCTTTATATTACATCAAATATAGCTGCTGTGTGCCGTGCCTTAGAAACACAGTGCTGAGGAGATGAGATGACAGATCCTCTGTTTCTCACAGCTGTCTCTCTGCTGCAGGAGCTGCAGGTCCTGTCCAAGCCCCCAAGTCCAGCACCAGGCCGTGTGGCATTCAGGCATGATAGCCCCAGTACTAACCGCAGGTCATGTGACGCGTCACACTTACATGTGACCTCTATTTAGGAAATAATTATGAAAACTTTAAAATGCAATGATTCTTAGGCAAACTCTGGAGTTCTTCTTTAGTGATTCGTAAGTGGATTTATGAACGCTTATTACCCAGTGGACATGAGAGATCATGATATCCTCAGAAAGTGCAATACACAATGTATCTGAAAATATGTATCATGTCTGTGTTTTCTGATTTGAGTTATGAGATTAAGAAGAAGGAGTGTTTCTAGCTTCACTGCCTCCATGAGCTGTGTGTCACAGACAGCAGCTGGAATCAGCCAAAGTGCACCAGCACACCTCTTCTTTGACTTTGAGTTTGTGGATTCATTCTTTCTGGTGACTGGCTGGTGATTTCTTTGGTGATTTTTTAGATTTTTAGATTTTGATCTTCCTCTTGCTTCTATAAACAAGAAGAGGAGCAGCCTCCTCTGGTCTGCAGGTCATCAATGTTCATTATGCCTGCAAGTTACTAAGATTGAAATTTAAAGCAAAGATATTTGCCTTCCACGTGTCATCTTGCAGGCAGTTGGGGCGGAACGAGGTGAAACTGCCATTAGCAGTCACCGCAGTTCAACACCTTTCGCTGCCCGTGACTTTCTCACCTCCTCTCTGCTCAACAAGTGTAAAAATACAAACCATGCACAGCTCATCTACACACACACACACACACACCTCAATACTCCTTAACGAGAGCAGCATGGCAGAGGAGATAATTGATAGGGAGATGAATGGGGTGAGTGTGAAAGCGATGGAGAGTGAGAGTGTGAGAAGGAGAAGTGCTGCCATAGAGTGTGCAGCTCCGCTGAACTTGTTAGCAGTAAAACAGTGTGTGTAAATGTGTCTGTGGGTATCTCAGCTGCACAGAGATGACAGCGGATTGAAATAGCATCCTGTGGACTCTTGTGGAGGCGGTGCGTGTAATTGCTGCACTTTGTTTGTGTTTCTCAGAGGCTCCGGTCCTAAATCTCTCTTTAGCCCCATCATCCTGACTTTTTGCTCTTTTCTAGTTTGTCTCCTGGGAAGCAGATAATAGTTTCTTTGTAGGAATTGTGTGTGTCGTCTGCAGAAGGAATCCCATTTCAGAGTTGATGAGTAGGGAGCGATCCCACAGCAGAGTGAGGCAGGGAAACATTCAACGGAATCGCAGAGATACAGACAGGGAGGACAGAGAGACAGAGAGAAAGATGGAAACAGAGGGCAGATGATAGACAAAAGAGAAGACAGATGAAGATGGGAGGCCAGTCTATTCACAGACTGCTGACCCTCAGTGACTCACACACACAACCAGAACCTTAGAAGCAAGAAGAGACAGAAGGATTTGCAGCTGGATCCTGTATTCTGCTGGATGTGCAGCACTGCAAAATCCTCCACAGTCAGTCAGTCAGCTAACAACACTGTCAACCAGTCCAGCATGTCTGCAGCTGAATCCAGAACAGGAGCCAGAAGGGAAATATGGAACCACAAGACAGCCAACACACTGTAAGTATAATTCCTCTTTGTAATTACTTGGGTAATTGGGGCTGTTTTATTGATTATGATATCACTGTGCTCACCAACAGAGAAAAATACATGAGCAGTCAGGATTCAGTGTAAACAGAACTGCTACCAGAGGAAATGTAAGGATGGCATCCGACTCATGTGGGCAGTGAGAGGAACCCAGGAAAACATGGTTCTTATTAAAGATTGCGATTTCTTTATCAGACTTTGATAAACCAGTTCATTCATGTAATCCAGCCAATAAACAAAACAATAGCATTACAGGCACACTGAGTTGCAGTGTACCTGTAACACTAAGAAAGTCTCTGAGCACTGGACTTGCTGTTGGAAGAGCTGAGGGTGATGCGTCTCAGAGTGGAACCTCCTCAGGACGAGCTCAGCCTTACATGCGTGGCTTTCTCAGCTGCCCAGCGCCACAGAGTCTCACCTAAGAACCCCAGTAGGCCGTGTCTGCCGACGTCCAGTCCAAACCGCAGTTTGCCACTGACCTCGGGGCTGACCCTCAGAGCAGCTCTGCCCTCCTGTCGGCTTCCTGATCACCCAATGGAGGTCTCCTATTCCGCCTCCGTCCAGCCCCCAGGCCTATGTCTGAGGTCTCTGGCTCCACCTCTGCACTGCCCCCAGGCCTTCTGCCTGTAGTCTTCAGCTCTGACGGTCCAGCCCCAAGGCCGTCCATCCTTGGGGCTGGGGTCCATGCTGCTCTTTAGTCCCCACGCAAACCACATCTTGGTTCTCCATGAATTCTGCATTCAAGTCCTATCCCCACTGCCTCACACTCACCCACCATCAGAGAACAATTCTTTCAAAAACATGAACAAAATCTGCAATAGCAGTTCAGGTCAAGTCATCAAAGCTTTGGATCAAGAGCTGGATCTGATTAAAACCGTCCTGATGGGCCAGACTGTGAAATTCAGGTGTTATACGTTTTTTGGTCACCACTACGAGTGACCTCAGATAGCTATGGTCCAATGTTGATAACGTCAAAATAAGCAAAGCTATCCATAGACAGAGTTGGGTTCGGTTTATTCAGGTTCAGACTCTTTAAAAGGTCCCATGGTTTGGAATTGGGTCATGTTTATCCCAGCATGCACTCCTGCTCCCTCACTCCAACCAGAGTCTTGTCATATCACAGCCAATAAAAGTAACAAAGGGAATTGACTTGTGGCATTAAGAAAAGATTATTATCATTATTATTCTGATATAAAAATATTTATATGAAAATATTTGCATCTTAATGGTTTCAAACAGAAACTATTATCCCAAGTTCCCACAGGCCTCTGCTTTCTGCTCAGACAACAGCGGCCTCACAGAGACGATGGCTTCAGAGGACTGTTGGAAATGAACAGAAGACTTGGAGTGTTGTTCAGACTGTAGACTGTGATAAGCTCCCAGTCAGTGAAGACGTCCATGCTGCTGCACACTGATGCTCTGTTTATGTCGTCACAGCTGCATGGCCACTCAACACACGGCCTCTGATTAGGACAGTCGCCCTCAGAGCTTAGACATGGCCTAGAGATGATGCAGTCCTCCACACCACTACTGTTAAAGCAGCATCAGAAGAAGCTTTACTGTACATACTGAGCTTAGTCATTTAGTTATGTAGTATCCTTTTAAACAACTGCCTCAGATCTTTTAACAATAAAAGGTTATCACACATGTCTCACAATGCTGCAAGGAGGCAAAATCGACATCATTTCTTATAACAATGTCAGTTTTAAGGCTCAAATAATAGCTCAGGGCAATTAAAGGCTAAGAGAGCAGATGAAGGCGAGGTAAACAACATCAGGGCTGTGCAATAACAGCTCACATGGTAAAATCAGCATAATGTATATTTACGCAGCACAGAGTCATTTCATAGTCACCACTCACACGTTCTGCTTTCATTCAGTCACTTTTCCTTTTTCTGTTTTTGTGATTCAATTTCCTCGTTCAATGGTTTCATCCTGAAGCCTGTTTTACATTCGTACGTTTGTCTCATTGGACGTTGTGCTGCTTTGGCCTCTAGCACTTCCTGTTCACATCATACAGACTATCAGCTGGAACACTGTGACACAGAAGGGACAGTCTACATCTCATTAGCAATGATGCCAATGACTGTGGAGAACCCAAGTGTAAAGAGTTAGCAGTCAATTGTCTTGTGTTCTGATTTTACTGAAGTGTGACGAATTATAAACAGAAGTTGACGAGGAAAACAAATGTGACTGCAAAAATTCAGATGCTGCGCATATATTTTCAGAATGCATTGTCTGTTCATATCCAGAGAATGTATTACTAACTAGCAAGTTCTATGTATTAAATAAATACAACAATATAACCCTCTGCTGCTTTATGTTCATGCTACTCTGGGGTCCTCTCTGGAACTTAACCGACCCGAAACAGAGACACACTGACAAGTCTGGACTTGAGACCTGGCTCTGGTCTGAGGAGGATTTTTGGGGTCTGGTATATCCAACAGTCACATAGTACATTCACACACTGACAGCTGCACAGAACAGCTCAACCCAGAAGCATTCCATGAATGAATCCGTCTACAAGTGTTTTCAGTGACCTTTCAAATCAGCACAGAAATCAGAAGCCTACAAAGCTGTGTGTGTGTGTCAGCGTGCAGAGAGACTTACTGTTCATTTACGACAAAGATGCAGTTGTCTTGGGAGGGGACGCCGGACACCGGGTGCTTACAGGTCACCTTCCTCTCATTGTGACTGGAGGGAAAGAAAGAGGACGAAATCAATCACTGCACCAACACCAAGACACTTCAAACATGTGTAATGGACTGAAGGCTGGGACACATCATTCATACAAAATACAATAGTACACATCTGCATCACAAACAGTACTACATCTGCATTATTAACAGTACTACATCTGTATTATTAACAGTACTACATCTGTATTATTAACAGTACTACATCTGTATTATTAACAGTACTACATCTGCATGATAAACAGTACCACATCTGTATTATTAACAGTACTACATCTGTATTATTAACATTACTACATCTGTATTATTAACAGTACTACATCTGCATTATTAACAGTACCACATCTGCATTATTAACAGTACTACATCTGTATTATTAACATTACTACATCTGTATTATTAACAGTACTACATCTGCATTATTAACAGTACCACATCTGCATGATAAACAGTACTACATCTGTATTATTAACATTACTACATCTGTATTATTAACAGTACTACATCTGCATGATAAACAGTACCACATCTGCATCACAAACAGTACTACATCTGCATTATTAACAGTACTACATCTGCATTATTAACAGTACCACATCTGCATTATTAACAGTACTACATCTTTATTATTAACAGTACTACATCTGTGTTATAAACAGTACTACATCTGTATTATTAACAGTACTACATCTGTATTATTAACAGTACCACATCTGTATTATTAACAGTACTACATCTGTATTATTAACATTACTACATCTGTATTATTA